AACAACAACAACAACAATAATGGTGATGGATAGACCCAGCAAGACTTTAGCTGTAATTTAGATAATAATAATAATAATAATAATAATAATAATAATAATAATAATAGATGAGCCCTGCAAGACTTCAGCTGTAGCATAACCAGGATAACAGAGTAATAATAGACAAGACAGAGGTCTTCCTGGTCAGTTGAAAGGCTGAACAGGGTATATGGTTACAGCCTGTGCTGGATGGGGTTACATTCCCCCTGAAGGCGCAGGTTCACAGTTTGGGAGTGATCCTGGACTCATCGCTGAGCCTGGAACCCCAGGTCTCAGCGGTGGCCAGGGGAGCTTTTGCACAATTAAAACTTGTGCGCCAGCTGTGCCTGTATCTTAGGAAGTCTGACTTGGCCACGGTGGCCCACGCTCTGGTTACATCCTGTATAGATTACTGCAGTGCGCTCTAGGTGGGGTTGCCTTTGAAGACTGCTCAGAAGCTACAATTGGTCCAACAGGCAGCAGCCAGGCTGCTCACCGGAGCGGTGTACAGGGAGCATACCATCCTCCTGTTGCGTCAGCTTCACTGGCTGCCAATCTGTGCTGGCTTTAGCCTATAAAGCCCTAAACAGTTCTGGCCCAGCCTACCTGTCCAAACGTACTAGCCCCTATGAACCATCACAGAGATTAAGATTGACTGGGGAGACCCTGCTCTCGGTCCCACCTTCTTCACAAGCACGATTGGTGAGGACAAGAGACAGGGCCTTCGCAGTGGTGGCCCCTCAGTTGTGGAACTCCCTAGCGATATCAGGACAGCCCTCTCCCTATGTTTAGAGAGTCAGAACCTGGCTCTGGGAGCAGGCATTTGAAAAATAGAGTGGTGCAGGAATGTAAGTATGGAATATGTGCAATTTTACTATGGATTGGCCTTTAGATTATGACTCTGGAAGATGTAATTCATTGAAATTTATTTTTTATAGCTATGTTTTAATGTTTAAGTTATATCTTAACTGATGTGATATGTTTTAAGGTACCGTGGAGATGTGATGATAAGCCGCCTTGAGTCCCCCATGGGGTAGAGTAGTGTTTCTCAATTGTCCTAATGCGGTGACCCCTTAATATAGTTCCTCATGTATTTTTGTTGCGACTTCATAACTCTAATTTTGTGACTGTTATGAATCATCACGTAAATATCTGATATGCAGGATGTACAGTATTTTCATTCACTGGACCAAATTTGGCACAAATACCGGACACACCCAAGTTAGAATACTGGTGGGGTTGGGGGGAAGGTTATTGATTTTGTCATTAGGGAGTTGTAGTTGCTGGGATTTATAGTTCACCTACAATCAAAGTGCATTCTGAACTCCACCAACGATGGAATTGAACCAAACTTGAACTTCAATCACCAACAGAAAACACTGAAAGGGTTTGGTGGGCATTGACCTTGAGTTTTGGAGTAGTAGTTCATCTACATCCAGAGAGCACTGTAGACTCTGATGGATCTGGACCAAACTTGGCACGAATACTCAATATGCCCAAATGTGAACATGGGTGGAGTTTGGGGAAAAAAAGACCTTGACATTTGGGAGTTGCAGTTGCTGGGATTTATAGTACATCTACAATCACAGAAGGAGGCGGGCTTTTGGTGGAAGGATTTGCCGTCTGTTTTCAAAAAGGAAGAGAAGGACAGGCTGAGAGATCTTCAACCTTCTCTGCCAAAGGGGTTCCAGTGTTTTCAGAAATATGTGTTTTCAGATGGTCTTTGGCGACCCCTCTGAAACCCCCCTTACGACCCCTCCCGGGGTCCCGACCCCCAGGTTGAGAAACGCTAGGGTAGAGAAAGGTGGGATATAAATAAGGCAAATAAATAAATAAATAGATGTACCCTGCAAGACTCTAGCTGTAGCATAACCAAGACAACAATTATGATGTTTTTGGTCGTGTCAGGAGCGACTTGAGAAACTGCAAGTTGCTTCTGGTGTGAGAGAATTAGCCATCTGCAAGGATGTTGCCCAGGGGGCGCCCGGTTGATTTGATGTTTTTATCATCCTTGTGGGAGGCTTCTCTCATGTCCCCGCATGAGGAGCTGGAGTTGATAGAAGGAGCTCATCCGCCTCTCCCCGGATTCGAACCTGCGACCTGTCGGTCTTCAGTCCTGCCGGCACAGGGGTTTAACCCACTGCGCCAGCATCAACAATGATGATGATGATGATGATGATGGACTCTGCAAGATTTTAACCAAGACAATGATAATAATAATAACCACAATAACAGATGTCCCCTGCAAAACCTTAGCTGTAGTATAACCAAGACAACAACAACAACGATGATGGATGGATTGACCCTACAAGACTTTAGCTGTTATTTAGATGATGATGATGATGATGATAGATGAACCCTGCAAGGCTTTAGCTGTAGCATAACCAGGATAATAGAGCAATAATAATAGTAATAATAGATTAACCCTGCAAGACTTTAGCTGTAGCATACACAAGACTTCATTGTCAGATGCAGTTCTGGCCAACCTTTCTCCGGCTCTTCCATCTGCCTCTTACTTTTTATCATGTCTGATATAGTCATTAAGTTGAATATATACATCAGTCTTTCTGATGGATCAATGTCATCGGCTTTGTTGCTACAAGCCAGGTTTTTATTCTTAGGATTTTGTGGAGGGGAGAAGAAAACTTCACCTTTGAAATAAACAATGGATAATTGATGAGAGGCAAAATATTGGAGGTGGAAGATGGATGAAGAGAGGCAACGTCGTGGTGTCACAGGCTGTTGGCTTTGCGTTTGCTGTTGACTGCTGGCATGGCTCATAAAAATTAAAGCACTGTTCCTTGGAAAGGAGAGATTGTGTCAACGGTTCAACAATTTTGGCTCAGTTTGGTGCATCAAGGCATTAAACCCATTTGTATCTCAGCGAAGGAGTGAACTAAGAAACAGAACATGAAATATGAATAGCCGTCTAAAATTTTCAATGGGATACAAAGCCAAGGACCGGAGCTAGTTCCAACACCAGAATGTCTTATCTGTGAAATAGACAAAAAGAAATGTTTAATAAGGTTGAGAGTGTGCAGAGCATATTTCTCACCTTTTTGCAATTATAGTCTCTCCTGCAAATGTAAGATTAGGTGTCATAGTATTCATATCAACCAGGATGAGATAGTTTGGACTGGCTATTAACACGACTTGAATGTGTAAGGAGTTTGACAACGCTTAAAAATAACTTCCTTTCCCTTTGACAAGTAATGGAATGGGATCACATCCGTACATGTCTGAGGATGCATCCACACTGTAGAATTAATGCAGTTTGACGCCGCCAATTGTTGCCTTTGTAAAACTGCTTGGAGTCTTCTTTGGGATGAGAAGGGTGGGATACAAGTGTGATAAATAAAAATAATTGTTTGTTTTTTGGGTGTTACAACTTCCAAATTTCAAGGTCAATTGCCCCCAAACCCTACCAGTATTCAATTTTGCCATGTTGGGTCTGTGTGCGAAGTTTGGTCTAGATCCATTGTTGTTTGGGTTCACAATGCTCTCTAGATGTAGGTGAACTACAACTCTCAAATTTCAAGGTCAGTTGTCCTCAAACCCTGCTGGTATTCAAAGTTGGCTATGTTGGGTCAGCGTGCTTAAGTTTGGTCCAGATCCATCATCAGTTGGGTTCACCAATGATTAACCTGGATGGGATTGAACTATAATTCCCAAAATTCAAGGTCAGTTCCCTCCAAACCCTGCCAGCATTCAAAGTTGGCCACGTTGGGTCTGGGTGCCAAATTTGGTCAAAATCCATTGTTGGTGGGAGTCACAGGGCTCTCTAAATGTGGCGTGAACTATAGCTCCCAGGATCCAAGGTCAATTCTCTCCAAACCCTGCCAGTATTCAAAGTTGGCTATGTTGGTATTGTGTGCCAAGTTTGGTCCAGATCCATTGTCGTTTGGGTTCACAGTGCTCTCTGGATGGGAGTGAACTATAACTCCCTAAATTCAATGTCAATTTCCTCCAAATTCTGCCAGTATTCAAAGTTGGCCATGTTGGGTTTGTGTAGCAAGTTTGGTCCACCTCCATTGTCATTTGGGTTCACAGTGCTCTCTAGATGTAGGTGAACCAAAACCCCCAAATTTCAAGGTCAAGTTTTTAAAGTTGGCCATGGTGGGTCTGGGTTCCAGGTTTCGTTGAGATCAATTGCTGGTTGGGTTTAGAATACTCTCTGGATGTGGGTGAACCATAACTCCTGAAAACCAGGATTCATTCCCTGGGAGGGTCTGTTTGCCAAGTTTGGTACGGATCCATTGTTGGTGGGAGTCACAGGGCTCCCTGGAAGAGGAGGCCATCTTGGAAAATACATACATTGCATGCAAAGATACATACATAGATACGATATAGTGTCTCTCTCTCTGTGCATGTGTGTGTGTGTGTGTGTATGTAAATATATATATGATAGATAGATAGTCAACAAAAATGTTTCCTTTGCTTTCTTGTGGTTGGCTGTAGACAAATTAAACTTGATGCACAAAATTATTTAAAATATTATATAAAGTTAGCTCCAGACATTATGTATTTGGAACATAAATGATGTCTTGTTTAGGCTTGGGTCCCATCTCTGTGACATCTCACAATGTACATGGAGGTATTCCAAAATACATTAAAAAATCCCAAATACAGGATATTTTTGATCCTGAGGCATTTCAGAGAAGGGATGCCCAACCTATGTTTCCTTACTGCTTTCGTTTCTGAACCCATAACTTTCCATAAAGTTTTGTTGAACCATCTTTCTTTCTTTGTAGGACCGTGCGCCATTTTGAGCCTCTGTTAAGAGAAGCAGCATACAGTATAATAATTGTTGTTGTTATTATTATTATTATTATTATTATTATTATTATTATTATTATTATTATTATTATAAGAGAGGAATCCCAGACATTTGGACCTAATGTGCATGTGTACTGTTTTATATACATGTAAATAATAATAATAATAATAATAATAATAATAATAATGTATTTGCCTTTTTTCAGCTCCTGAAGAACATCTAAACAGTGACGGCTTCCTTTTGTCAATGAAGTCTCTCGATGTGACTGATTCTTAGCTCCAAAAGGAATTATAGCGCATTCAGGTGAGATGGTAATTAATAATCATAATCATAATCATCTCATTCGAAGCATGAGATCAGGCCTTTGGGAACATTGATTTGGACCACAACTCCCAGTATCCCCAGTGGCTCGGAGAGCTGATCCCAGTCCTGAGTGTTACTTATTTGTCCTAATACGTTTCTCTTTTCTGTTAAGCAACAGCGATGATGTTCTGTCTGCTTCTGTGGTGGAACCTCAAAGTCCTGGCGCTTTCTCTGCTACTAAAGGCCACCACGTCTTTGAACCCGGATGACCCCAACGTCTGCAGCCATTGGGAAAGGTAAGGCTTGACCAGTTTCCTCCGGTTTTGGTGTAAAATATGCCAACCGACTCCCACTTCCATGCCAGTCAGACCCCATCTACATTGCAATACAAACTCCTTTTTGAATCCAGATAATCTGCTTTTGAACTGCATGATATGGCAGTGTAGACTCATCTCATCCAGTCCAAAGCAGATAATCTGGATTGGGAAATTGGGTTACATGGCAGTGTAGATCCAGCCTCAGTGAACAACACCCTCTGGGAAGTTAAGAATAAGAGGTGAAAGCCATGTAAACAAACCAACAACACGGTGCTATAAACCACGCAGAAGAAGCAGCAAACAATAGCAGGGGGAAAAAATAAATGGATACAGCGGTATCACATATAAATAGCACATCTAAACACAGAGAGGAAAACAGAACGAGAGTAAAGGAAAGCCCTATCTACATTGTAATGCAGATTGAAGTGGATTATATGGCGATGTAGACTCATTGCACTTCTATTTGCATTACGAAAGTAAACACTTACCATATAACACAGTTCAAACTGCATTATATAGCAGTGTAGATGGGGCTGAAGTCTAGGGGTGCTTCTACCTGGTAGAATTAATACAGTTTCACTCTTGTAGCTCAATACTGTCAAATTGTGGGGGTTGTCGTTTCGCAAGATCTTTTTGCCTCCTCTTCCACAGATACACAACATGGCCAACTCTGAAAACAGGTGTAGTTTGGGAGTGATTGACCTTGGGATCTGGGAGTTATAGTTCACCCGTATTCAGAGAACACTGAAGCCAGCTCTTGATGGATCTGGATCAAACTTGGCACACAGCCTCAACATGGCCAACTTAGAATATTGGTGGCGTTTGGGGGTGATTTACCTTGGAATCCAGGAGTTGTAGTTCTCCCACATCCACAGAACACTGAACCCAACCGACAATGGATCTGGACCAAACTTGGCACACAGATGCAATGTGGCCAACTTTGAATACTGGCAGGGTTTGGGGGTAACTGACTTATGATTTTGGGAATTGTAGTTCACCCACATCTTTATGCATTTTCTAATGGGTGTATTCATAAAAAACAAAAACAAAGATTGAGTTTATCTAATAGCATTACAAATTACCTAACTTGGGCATCGCTGGGTACCTAAGCTAGATACACACACACACACACACACACACATATACACACGTATATATGGAGACCCCGATGGCACAGTGGCTAAACCACTGAGTTGCTGAACTGGCTGACTGAAAGGGTGCCAGTTCAAATCTGGGGAGTGGGGTGATCTCCCACTGTTAGGCCCAGCTCCTGCCAACCTAGCAGTTCGAAAACAGGCAAATGTGAGTAGATCAATAGGTACCACTTCTGCAGGAAGGTAACGACACTTCATGCAGTCATGCCGGCCACATGACCTTGGAGGCATCTATGGACAATGACTGGACTTAATGTCAGGGGAAAACCTTTACTCTCTCTCTCTCTCTCTCTCTCTCTCTCTCTATATATATATATATATATTTGCTGGAGTTACACTGAAAAAATGTATCTGTTCCAACTTACATACAAATTCAACTTAAGAACAAACCTACAGAACCAATCTTGTTCGTAATTTGGGGACTGCCTGTAATTCTTTTGCTATTGGGGCATGTTTAGGTCCCAGCCAATGTAATGTATCAAAACAAAAATGGCCCCATATGGTTTGTTGGCAAAGGCTGGATCTACACTGCCATATAACCCAGTTCAAACCTGATAATTTGGATTCAGAAATTGGATTATATAACAGTGTAGATGTTGCCAAAGAAATGATGCATTCAACATCCTCTTAGCATAGATACAGACCTTACACCTGAAAGCAATTGGTTTTTTAAAAAGTCAGTGCACAAAGGTTTCAAACATGTCGAACCTGATGATAAGTGAATATGGAGTTATATTATAATCTGCCTTTGTGCCCAACTGAGCGTGACTCGTCTTAAGCAACAGGTAGCTCTTGCAGGTATCCTGAAGTTCATTATAGTTGGATTTATTAGGGTTCTAAAAAAGGATCTTGATCACTTGCAACACAAAGCTTTCTAAAATAAATGCGGGTGGGGGAAAAAAAAAGCAGCCGCAACTGGTATTGTTTGCAGCTCGGTGGCAAAGCCGAGTCCATTTCAAGCCCAGCAATCCGATATTGATTTTGTGTGAAGGGAGTCAGCAACCCGGAGACCCAATCAAGGAGAAACAAAAATTAAATATCGGAATTGATTGGCTGCCCTCGCCAAGATGACTGTGATACTTAGAGGGTAATAAATCAAGCCCAAAAGATTGAGTTAGGGGGAGGTCAAGAGGAGCCAACAGGATCATAAAATAGTAATCAAGATGACTGGGGCTGTATGTTAATAAAGACTAGTCCAAATGCATTATGTTTGGACAGCCTTGCCAGGAGGAAACCGTCTTGCAAAGAGCAGGTGCGGAGCGGCGGCCGATGGAGATGGCGCTTCTTAAGAAATTTTGTTGGAATTGGAAAGGAATTCTCCAAGGCAGTGAACTTATCCCCAGAATAGATTTTGTCAGCTTATTATTATTATTATTATTATTATTATTATTATTATTATTATTATTAGAAACACAACAAGATGAGTCCACAGCAAACAAGATCACTCTGCTGGCTTTTGTATTGGATCACACGTTAGACACTTCCCAAGTGTCTAGGACTGTGTGATGTATCAGCGAATAATGTATATAGATCCGAGTAGGGTGGCCTTTTGCAGCTGGCAGATGGTAATTTTATCAGCGCTGATTGTGTTTAAGTGCGGGCCAAGGTCTTTAGGCACTGCACCCAGTGTGCCGATCACCACTGGGACCATCTTGGCTGGCTTGTGCCAAAGTCTTTGCAGTTCGATCTTCAAATCCTTGTATCGTGTCAGCTTTTCCAGTTGTTTCTCCTCAATCCTACTATCGCCTGGGATTGCAACATTGACAATCCATACTTGGTTTTTTAAAATGATGTTGAGGTTAGGAGTATTGTGCTCCAAAAGTCTGTCAGTCTATTATTATTATTATTATTATTATTATTATTATTATTATTATTATTATGGCTGCTGCTGCTGTTATTGTTACAATGTTGTCAACATCTCCCTTCAATTGTGGTGCCCAGAATTGGACACAGTATTCCAGATGTGGTCTGACCAAGGCAGAATAGAGGGGTAACATGACTTCCCTGATTCAGGCCAAAATCCCATTGACTTTTTTTGCCATCACATGACATTGTTGGCTCATGTTTAACTTGTTTTCCATGAGGACTTCAAGATCTTTTTCCCACGTACTGCTCTCAAGTCTAAAAGACTTCTTCCTCTCTTGTTCTTGGAGTGTCTGTTTGGCCAAATTGACCAGAAGTCCTTTGATATGAAGAGAGATTCATGGCAACCTGCCATTGGCCATATATATATGTGGTCGAGGATCCTTCTTTGGAGGCTTGGAAACAAAGGCAGGATGGCCATCTGTCAGGGGTGCTTTGAATGCAATTTTCCTGCTTCTTGGCAGGGGGTTGGACTGGATGGCCCATGAGGTCTCTTCCAATGCTATGATTCTATGATTCTATATATCCATGCCTTTTTGAGATGTTCTGCCCAGTTTCTGCATAGCTACTTGCTATTCCTTTTGTGACCCAGCTGTTTGTAGAATGTGTGTGTATGTATTGTCGAAGGCTTTCATGGCCGGAATCACTGGGTTGTTGTAGGTTTTTCCGGGCTATATGGCCATGTTCTGGAGGCAATTTTTCTCCTGACGTTTCGCCTGCATCTATGGCAAGCATCCTCAGAGGTAGTGAGGTATCTGAGGATGCTTGCCATAGATGCAGGCGAAACGTCAGGAGAAAAATTGCCTCCAGAACATGGCCATATAGCCCGGAAAAACCTACAACAACCCAATGTGTGTGTATGTGTGCGTGTGTATGTATGTGTGTGTGTGTGTGTGTATATGTGTGTGTGTGTGTGTGTGTGTGTGTGTGTATATATATATATATATATATATATATATATATATATATATATATTGGAGAGGGCCGGGAGACTCTTTTTCGTTCACAATTTATGACTCTCAATTACTGGTTTATATCCTGCTACAAATTACCTCAAATTAAAATGGTTTCTGTATAGAAATGAATGCAATTGGGAGGAGAGAAAAAAAAACACCAACCCCCAGAGACCTCCCTCCTTTGTTTTTAATACAAAATAATGCCTTGAGTTTGATGGGTTTCCCCGTCGATTAGGATTCGAGCTCCTTCATCATGGAAATGAAATGCTGGGATCCTACAGTGCTGGGAAGGCTCAACAGCGTTATGTTAATATGTGCTTTTAATTAGCTTTTTGTACACAAGTAAAAAAAAGTAAGCCGTCTCAGGAGGAAAAATATCTGATAGGATTTTATTTAAGGGCACAGACCTTGTTTCCACCCCCCTGATATTATCGGAAAGCTTCCATCAGTTTGCATTTTCCCTTCTCTCTTTATGAGGACGTTCTCTCGCGCCTTGCTACTCTAAAACTCCTTGCTTCTTCTTCTTCTACTACCAAAGCTAGTTGCATATAACAGGAAACCTAATTTGAGGTCTTGGCTCATATGTTCTCTGCTTAAAAGCTTAAATTAACAGCAAGTCATCTAAAAAAAAATATTGGATTGGTAGATACTTTCGGAAAATTGACATTCATAACCTTTTGGGAAAACCAGTAATCTCCACAGACTTTTGGAAGCATAACCGTTTTGGCATTCACACTATTTGGAATAAACCTTTTGGAAAGACATGATCTTGTTAGAGACTATAGCCTTTTTAAAGTATTATCTTCCTGAGAAGAGTTATGATTATTCCAAATAGTGTAAGCCAAGACCTCTAACCCTAACCCTAACCTTTTCCTTCATAGTAAATATCCACTAGTATTCATGCAAGGGAATTAGGTTTCTCAGCTGTTAGACTGATATACCTAGATATCTCTTTGAACTGTTAGGAAGAAAGATATGCCAAATGCACAAAAACATATAGCAGAGTTTCAGAAGTGCTTTTTTCAGTTTGCCCAAAACATCTACTCTCCCTTAAAACATCTTGGTTTAATTCATGCTCTCAAGAGAGAAAAATAAGTAGTCTTCATAAAAAGTAACATAGTTGGTTTACTCACAAATTTCATGTACTCAGTATAAAACATCTGGGCGTACCCTGGGCAACATCCTTGGAGCCGGCCAATTCTCTCACACCAGAAGCGACTTGCAGTTTCTCAAGTTGCTCCTGACATGAAAAAAAAAAACCTGCATCTCCTGGAGGCAGGTTACAACATCATTGAAAACACATAATTATATAAAATACACATATTAAAATGTACAGCCTTTCTCAAAAAATGCATATATTTTAGATATATAAGATCATCAGGAGCTGCTGTGATTCTATATGGTTTTAATGATTAGTACTGTTTTCAGACTTGTATATTATATATTTTAAGTTATATTACAATGCTTTTAATTGAGAGCTGATTTAAATCTTCATATGGAGAGAAAAAGCGGGATATAAATAAACATAGTAATAATACATTAAAATATACAGAACATTGATTCAAATTTAGTGGGTAGAAAACAATATGAAGAAGCTTTGAAAGTTTGTGTGGTGTATTCTGGGTATTTTTGGTTGGCACAATAAAGGCGTCATTATTTGAGCCATTGTGGATATGGTTGTGTTATGTTGTATGGATAATACAGCGATCCCTGGATGCATTTTGGGGATATGCCTGTTTGCAAAATAAACGAATCAATGAATGGGTTGCTGAGAGTTTTCTGGGATGTCTGGTCATGTTCCAGAAGCATTCTCTCCTGACATTACACCCACATCTATGGCAGGCATCCTCAGAGGTTGTGAGGTCTGTTGGAAATCAAGCAAGTGAAGTTCATATATCTGTGGAATGATGTCCTCAGTGGGAAAAAGAACTCTTGTCTGTTTGAGTCAACTGTGAGTGTTGGAATTGGCCAACTTGATTAGCATTGAATGGCCTTGCATTTCTTGCATAGAATCATAGAGTTGGAAGAGACCTCGTGGGCCATCCAGTCCAACCCCATTCTGCCAAGAAGCAGGAAAATCACATTCAGAGCACCCCCGAGAGATGGTCATCCAGCCTCTGTTTAAAAGCCTCCAAAGAAGGTGCCTCTGCCACAATCTGGGGGCAGAGAGTTCCACTGCTGAACAGCTCTTTCTCACAGTCAGGAAGTTGTTCCTCATATTCAGGTGGAATCTCCTTTCCTGTAGTTTGAAGTAGTTCCATGTCCGAGTCTCCAGGGCAGCAGGAAACAAACTTGCTCCTTCCTTCCTATGACTTCCCCTGCCATCTTGATCCATGGCCCTCATCATGTCTTCTCTCAGCCTAATAATAATAATAATAATAATAATAATAATAATAATAATAATAATACTTTATTTATACCTCACCACCATCTCCCCGAAGGGACTCGTGGTGGCTAACATGAGGCGAAGCCCAAATAATTACAAGAAAGCAAAGTAAAGTACATACAAAACAGACAATAACATCAAATAAAAATGCTTAACAATAACATAGTAACGCAATAAAATAATGACATTAACATAATAAAAACAAAGTATAAAATGCTAAAAGAATTGAACAAGGGCAAGCCGGGCCAAATGCAAAAGGTAAAAATTGTAAAACCTGTGGGTGAGATAGATAAAATGCTGTGTTTAGTGGGAGGCTTGAGTGGGATAAACAATGAGATTAATCTCCACTGAGGGATGAGATTAAGTGCATCAGAAAGACAAATTGGTACTGGGATGGGACATGGCATGGGAATTAGTTGTTCATTCCTCAAAAGCACACCAGAAAAGCCAAGTTTTTAAGCTTTTCCTAAAGGCTTCCAGGGTGGGTGCTTGCCTAATCTCCCTGGGGAGCGAGTTCCAGAGCCGAGGGGCCACCACGGAGAAGGCCCTTCTCCCTCATCCTCACAAGCCGTGCTTGTGACAGAGGTGGGAGCGAGAGGAGGGCCTCCCCCGAAGATCGAAGGGATCGCACAAGTTCGTAGCCGTCTCTTCTGCAGGCTAAACATGCCCAGCTCTTTAAGCCGCTCCTCATAGGACTTGTTCTCCAGACCTTTGGTCCTTTTAGTTGCCCTTTTAGTTCATTTCGGAGTGAGAACTCCTCCAATTCCCAACTGTGTTGAATGTAACACTAATTTAAGATGCTTCTTTACTTACTGGGACTACAACACCCTGAACCTTCCATCCGGCAAGGAGAGAATGCTTCTGGAACATGGCCATACAGCCTGGAAAACTCACAGCAAAACAGTGATTCCTGCCATGAAAGCCTTAGACAACACATTGAATCAATGAATAATCCCCTTAACTTTGGGGAGTGATTTGCAGTCACCCAATGTTCTGGGTTTGAAAACCGGAGAGAGAGAGAGAAGGTGCTTTTAGAGACTAATGATCCACCTCCTCTGCTTCTTTCCTTGCCTGTTTCTTAGCTATGCCGTGACTGTTCAGGAATCGTACGCGCATCCCTTTGATCAGATCTATTACACAAGATGTACCGATATCCTCAACTGGTTCAAGTGCACTCGACACAGGTAAGTGGCGATCGGGAGAGATTTCAAACCTTTCTCTGCCTTTTCATCTTCTCTATCGTGTTGCCTTTTCATCTGTGTGCCTTGGCCAGACTCTCCAGATGGCGGGGATAAATATAGGCCTCTTCCTGCAAGAAACCCTCCTGCAACATTTAACAGAATTTCGATTTTTTTCAGAAGTAAAGTCTTCCTATTTTCTGAAAACCTGATCAGTTGGGCCTTGTAAATTTGCAGCTAATTTGATATCACGTTTTGAAAGAAAACCATGGATCAATCTTTTTGTTGGATCAAACTAATCAATTAAAGATAAGTTTTATCAGAGTCGTGAGCTCCCTCTGTAAGGCCCAGCTTCTGCCAACCTAGCAGTTCAAAAACATGCAAATGTGAGTAGATCAATAGGTATCACTCAGGCGGGAAGGTAACGGTGTTCCATGCAGTCATGCTGGCCACATGACCTTGGAGGTGTCTATGGACAACGCCGGCTCTTTGGCTTAGAAACGGAGATGAGCACAAACTCTCAGAGTTGGACACAACTGGACTTAATGTCAGAGGCAAACCTTTACCTTTACTAATGGAATCCTGGAAGTTGTAGTTTTACAAGATCTATAGTATTCTCTGCCCAAAGAATACTAGTGCCTCGTCAAACTACAAAACCCATCATGCTCTATCTGCAGAGCCTAATAAAATGCTACGCTTGTGCCTGGTGATGAAACCCCCTTGGATTGTATGTGTGTGAATACCCATTATTACCCTTTACGTGTTTATTTGCTATTTATCAATGAGCTCTGTGTCTGGAGATAGATGAGAAAGGCTTTGATATACTCATTTTCTAGCTGTCTCTCTCGCTCACTCATCACTCCGCATGAAACCTGATTAGAGCATTGCGCACAAGTCGAACGAGAGGATTCCACATTTGTATTGATCCTTTTTTAAATATCAGAAACTTTGCACATTTCGAAGTAATTATGGAACATAGCAACCTTGCAGTAACATAACACAAATTGAATTCCAAGTGTAGCGGGCATTGATTTCCAATGTGTGTATGTTTTTTCTTCTTCCCCTGACCGTTTAGAATAAGTTATAAAACGGCTTATCGGAGGGGGCTGAGGACAATGTATCGCCGGCGGTCCCAGTGCTGTCCCGGATATTACGAGAGCGGAGACTTCTGCATCCGTATGTATAGCTGGGGCTTTGTGGGTTTTTACTTTTCCTGGAAGTGGCTCACATGGTGGCCTTGCAGTCTGGTTTGCAGATATTTGAATTACAACGTAAGGCATAGTTTGCATTTCTAGAAACAAAGGAACAACAAGTGATTTGATGTGGGATGTTCCCTTCTTACTGGCCCAAACTTACTTACTTAGGCGATCCCTCATAGCCCGAAGATGATGGCCCTCCAAGTGTAGTGTCTTGGTGGTTGATATGTAGGTGACTGTGGAGCCCTATTCTTCATCCGCATGTTCTTCCACAGTGAGGGCATTGGTTTCCAAGTGGAAGTGGTCCCAGTCAAGGTTGCCTTGATGCACCTTCCTCTTGGCACCTTTTCCCCTTGCCCTCCATTTGTACCTCTTTGAATTCCACAGCACTGCTGGTTATAGCTGATTTCCAGTTATAGCACTCAAGGGCCAGGGCTTCACAGTTCTTGGTATCTATGTGGTCCTGGTCAGGCTTGGTTTCACATGCCACCTTCTTCTTGGCACATTTCTCCCTTCTGCCCTTCATTTGTGCCTTTTTGAATTTATGCAGCACTGCTGGTCACAGCTGACCTCCAGTTAGAGCACACAAGAACCAGGGCTTCCCAGTTTTCAGTGTCTATGCCACAGTTTTTAAGGTTGGCTTTAAGCCCATATTTAAATCTCTTTTTCTGTCTACCAACATTATGTTTTCTGCTCTTGATTTGGAAGTACTGTATAGTAACTGCTTTGGGATACAGCGATCAGGCATTCGGACAATGTGGCCAGTCCAGTGGAGTTGATGGCATAGGAGCATCGCTTCAGTGCTGGTGGTCTTTGCTTCTTCCAGCACGCTGACATTTGTCCACTTGTCTTCCCAAGAGATTTGCAGGATTTTCCAGAGGCAATGCTGATGGAATCATTCCAGGAGTTGAATGTGACGTCTGTAGACAGTCCACGTTTTGCAGGTGTATAGCAGGATTGGAAGGACAATAGCTTTATAAACAAGCACCTTGGTCTCCTTATGGATGTACCAATCCTCAAACACTCTCTGCTTCATTCAGAAAAATGCTGCACTTGCAGAGCTCAGGCGGTGTTGTATTTCAGTGTCAGTGCTGACTTTTGTGGAGAGGTGGCTGCCAAGGGAGCGGAAACAGTCTAAGAATAATGGGAAGTAGGGAAGCAACTGATGACCTCAATGGCTGCGAATTGCAGAATCTATTCTGAGTTGTACATTCAACTTGTAAAGAGACATCCATGGTGCAGGAAAGGAGATTCCACCTGAACATGAGGAAGAACTTCTTGATTGTTCAACAGTGGAACTCTTTTCCTCAGAGTCTGATTGAAGCTTCTTCTTTAGAGACTTATAAACATAGGCTGGTTGGCCATCTGTCAGGGCTGTTTGATTGTTCTTTTCCTGCATGATGGCAGAACGGGGTTGGACTAGATGACCCTAAGAGTCTCTTCCTACTGTATGATTCTAAGTTACTTATCATTAAAAACTTTACGCAGGAAAAACAATATGGTAACTTATTTCCTGTGTACAAAAAAGAGCAACAATCTAAATAAACAACACAATATTTTGCTCATTTACACAAATAACTTGTGCCCTGTGTCAAAAGGTAACAACATACATACACATAAGTAACGTTGAGCTCATTTACAAAGACAATTTGATTCCAATGTCAAAAAGTAAAAACATATAAATAGAAAAGTAACACTTAGCTCATTTGCACAGATAGCTTGTTTCCATTGTAAAAAAGCAACAACATATATGCTCTAAACAAGTGGTTCTCAACCTTCCTGATGTCGAGACCCCTTAATAGAGTTCCTCATGTTGTGAGGACCCCTAACCATAACATTATTTTCGTTGGTACTTCTTCACTGTCATTTTGCTACTGTCATGAACTGTAATGTAAATATCAATTATTTGGAGGATGTATTTTCATTCACTGGACCAAATTTGGCACAAATATCAAATATGCCCAAATTTGAATACTGGTATAGTTGGGGAGGGGGGGTTGATTTTGTCATTTGGAATTTGTAGTTGCTGGGATGTATAGTGCACCTACAATCAAACAACATTCTGAACTCCACCAATGATGGCATTGAACCAAACTTGGCAAACAGAACTCCCATGACCAACAGAAAATACCGGAAGGGTTTGGTGGGCATTGACCTTGAGTTTGGGAGTTGTAGTTCACCTACATCCAGAGAACACTGTGGACTACAACAATGATGGATCTGGACCAAACTTGGCATGAATACTCAGTATGCCCAAATGTTAACACTGGTGGAGTTTGGGGAAAATAGACCTTGATATTTGGGAGTTGTAGTTTCTGGGATTTATAGTTCACCTACAATCAAAGAACACTCTGAACACCACCAATGATAGAATTGGGCCCAACTTCCCACACAGGATCTCATGACCAACAGAAAATACTGTGTTTCCTAATGGTCTTTAGTGACCCCTCTGACACCCCCTCATGACCCCCCCAGGGGTCATGACCTCCAGGTTGAGAAATGCTTTTCTAAAATAATGTTTAGTTGTTGGAACAGATAACGTCCCATTGTAAAAAAGCAATAACATACATGCTCTAAAATAATGTTTACTCTTTGCACAGATAACTTGTTTCCATTGTAAAAAAGCAACACCACACACACACCAGATAATGTTTTCTGTGCAAAAATACCCTGAAATACCATTTGAGCTTGTGTATTGGTGGCAGTGACATTGACACATGTCATACAGCAATTTCAGTCTTGCTTCCAAAGATACTGATTCCGTCTTAGTATTTTCAAACTCTGCTTGAAATAATAAGCATGAGATTTGCATCCCAGGGAATTGCAAGAATTGAAAGAGAGAGAGAGAGAAAAGAGAGCATGCCTCCTGTAAATAGCACATTAAAATGTAGTTTGAAAATTGCTTTTCATAGAATTAATAGTTGGTTATGTTGCCACTATTCCCAGGCTTGTTTTGCTGATAAGGAATGATGGATGCTTCGTGGTGGAAACGCTTGGCTTAAATGTAGCAAAGTCGGTTGGACAGCAGTTGCACGCTTGAGTTATGTGGCTAATTATATCGCTAAGTACATGCATACAAGTCATTTTAAATTCTCAGGGTTGCCAACTCCGGTGACTTTGTCTTGGTCACTTTCCGAAGACGTGCTCTTCAAGCTTCTGCACAAACAACACATAGGCCTTCCCTACGATTGGGTTTTGCACCTTGGAAGGGTTTCTGTTTGGGACTAGATTCATTCTGGATGAGGAGTTCTTGGAGTTTTAATCCCAAACAAGGAATGGGTCCAACTTTTTAAGTTGCCTTTATTAATGTAGTGATGTGCTACCCCATTAGATAGTTGGTTAAAGTGCTCATTCAAACCCTCACTAATGACCTTATGTGGGTCAGAAGGAAGACAAATGAATCTTGTATTATAGTCTGAAGTTTGTAGCATTCACTCTAAGGACCTTATCTCATGCATTATGGGCTCAGTTTCCATGCACTTTGAGAACAGAGTCCCACAGAGTTCCACATCACATGACATAAGGGCACTTCTGGTGGGAGTCTGTTTCCATAGTGCATGTAAACAGAACACAGAACGTGTTTTCAGGAGTTGGGTGCTTAAGATGGGGGTAAGAAGAGGGAAAGATGAGGGAAAGGCAGAGAAAGATGGGGGAAAGATGGAAATATGGGGCGGGGGGGGGGAGAAGAGGAAAATATGGGGGAAAATGTGGGAAAGAAGAGGGAAAGATGGGGAAAGAATTATTTATTATTTATGTATTTACAGCATTTATATACTGCCTTTCTCATCCCTGGGGGGACTCAAAGCGTGTGATGAAGGGAGGCCACATCTCACAGAGCGTGTCATGATCATAAGCCAAAATAATGGCAAAATTCAGTGCCTTACATTGGGCATTGATACGATGCCAATACAAATAATTACAATAGTAAAACCATAATTAAACATAAATCATAATTAAAACAATACATCAACAAGCATTAAAACAATGGAGAAAGAAGGGGTAAAATGGGAAAAGATGAGGAAAGGGCGGGAGAAGAAAGAGGGAAAGATGGGGGGAGGGAGAGGAAAAGATAGGAGGAAGAAGAGGGAAAGATGGAGGAAAGACGGGAAAGAAGTGAGAAAGATTAGGGAAAGACAGAGAAAGATGGGGGAAAGAGAGGGAAAGACAAGAGAAAGAAGAGAAAGATGGGGGAAGGTGAAGGAAAGATGGGGGAAAGAAGAGGGAAAGGTGGGGGAAAGACAGGAGAAAGGATGTGGGTGGCCATTCCAGAAAATGGACCTCAATGGTAGGAAACGAAATAAGATGGTTCCCTCCACTCTCCCCCACTTTCCCTCGGCTCGTGGAATGAAGTCCTCGATCAGAAAGGCTTAGAAGGCACAAAACAGTAACAACAAACTTTCCAAATCCTGACATTGAGATGGCAGGGATGGAATCTGCTGGCGTTTTTGCATTCAGATCCTGTACTGTGCTAACTCAGGACTGAAGTCAATAGCACGAATGCTTGCTTTTTGTCCTGTCAATGAGGCTGGGCAGAGGGCAAGTCCCGTCCTTCTGAGCAGAGCAGAATGACAACAGCAACACACACACTCCAAAGTGGCGGCTCCATTTAAAGGGGAGCCATTGTTCTTAGGCATTCATTCTATTCAGTCCCCCAGTTAATATCATGTCCAAACAGATGGTCTCTTGGGGGCTGTTGTCTCTGCAGGAAGAAGCAGAGGCCCAGATGGCAACCTCCTTGGAGGAGGATGGTGGTTGGTTGGAGAGGGGGCTTCACTTGACCTTGCAAAGCAAAGCATTTCTGTTGCTGCTCAGCAGAGTTAATAGCGTGTGATGAAGGGAGGCCACATCTCACAGAGCGTGTCATGATCAAAAGCCTACTTTTAAAAAGTTTTTTTTTCATGGAAAGTTTAAGATTAAAAGCTAATTGGGACCTCTTTCACTAATATACTGCTCTTGATTTCTTGCAGTATATATATATGT